AACACATCTAATCTAGTAATAGTTCCTCTTGTCCTCAAAGTTCTGAGAATAATTCATGAAGGCTTCCATTTCATTCTCTCAGGGTTTCCTCCATGTGCTCTAAAAGAGTTTCTCTTGTTTGCATCTGAAACAACAAGCGCAGACCATTGTCTGTAAGAATGGACCTGTCTAATTACTGGGAAACCTGCTTCTGACCGACATGCTTTATGTGACTGATTTTCTGCTTCGTATCACATCAGACTCCTCACTCTGTCAGAGTCTCCCTGAACACGTTTAGCCCTGGAGTTTATTTTAGCACCATTTCCTCCTCCGTGCTCACCTGTCCTCTGTGCTGAGTGACGCTTCTGCTTTGGTGGATTGGGTGTGCGCTCCAAGTGCTTGGGACCTGCGGTAAAGTCCCGCCTCCTAGTTCGATTGACAGCAACTTTCTCCACGCAGTTTATGCAAGATTGAAACTAGAATTGGGAGACTGTCAATAATGCAGGACATGAGTCTCAGTTGGCGGGACATGAGAAAAGTGATGAAAATGCGAGAGAGAGAGAGAGAGAGCCATGTCAACTAACACAGCCCCACAATGTCCAGAACCTTCATGAACTTCAGGATGTATCTTTTTCACCCGAGGGTCCTTGCCAAGAGCAGCGTTTTGACCACCTCAGAGATCTCATCACCAGATTCTAGAGCCCAACCCAAAGTCCACAGACTCCACTTACTTGCTGGAAGACATGCCGGTGGGATTGAGGAGGTCTTCACCGTGCTCCGCTCACTGATCCACTATGGCCTGAGTTGAAGTCATGTGCACACCGTTCCCACTATAAAGTGTTGGTAGCGCACTATTTACCCCTCCTGAGGCGCTGAATCGTGGACCACAATCAGCTCAAAGCCCTTGTTCCATGGTCTCACCAAACTCTTCCCACACTCAGGTTTTTGCCTCCGCAACCACTTGAGCTGCATTCCACTTGGACTGTCAGGATTTATCAGCTGCCTTTGGAGTCCCACAGGTCAAAAAACCCCGATAGAACTATTTTTTCCAGGTTCAGCATACCTAGCCGCCGGTGTCCACCATTGGGTTCGGAGGCTGCCACCACGACAAGCACAGACGAGCCCGTGGCCACAGCTGTTGACCACATAGACAATGGAAGCACGGAACTTGGCCCACTCACTCAATGCCCCCGACTTCCCCCGCGGAAGTGTTTGAAATTCTGTTGGAGGTGGGAACTGAAGCTCCTTCTGACAGGAGACTCTACCAGACATTCTCAGCAGACCCTCACAATAGCTTTAGGCCTGTCAGGTCTGACCAGCAACTTCCTCCACCATTGAAGCCAACTCACCACCAGGTAGTGGTCAGCTGACAGCTCCGCCCCTCTCTTCACCTGAGTGTTCAAGACATGCGGCCGCAGATGAGATGATACGACAACAAAGTAGATTGTTGAACTGTAGCCTAAGGTATCCTGGTGCCAAGAGCACACATGAACACCTTTCTGCTTGAACATGGTGTTCATTACGGAAAATCCATGGCGAGCACATAAGTATAATAACAAAACACTGCTCAGATTCAGATCAGGACGGCCATACCACCCAACCACACCTCTTCCGGTCTCACTGTCGTTGCCCATGTGAGCATGAAAGTCTTCTATAAGAACAAAGGGGTCCCTGGAAGGATCACTCTCCAGCACACCCTCCATGGACTCCAAAAAGGGTGGGTATTCTGACCTGCAGCTTGGTGCATAAGCACAGACAGTAAGGACCCATCCTCCCACATGTAGGCGGAGGGAGGTACTGACTCACCCACTGGGGTAGACCCCAACATACAGGCATCAAGATGGGGGTCAATCAGGAGTATGCCCTGCGCTGTTAGGGAAACTCCAGAGAGGTAGAGTGTCCAACCCCTATGAAAGAGACTTGTTTCTGAGCCAGAGCCATGCATCCAGGTGAGACGGACTATATCAAGATGGAATATCTCAACCTCACACACCATGTCAGACTCTTTCCCCTCCAGAGTGGTGACATGCCACGTACCAAGACCCAGCTTCTGATGGACATTTAGGGGATGGTGGTGGTGGTGGTGGTGGTTTGGGGGGGGGGGGGGGCAGTCACCTCCTCTGCGCCACAGCTCTCCTGATCCACCAGATGACATCTCCTTTAAGTGCATTTTTCAAACAGAAAGTGTGGGTGGATGTGACGCTAGGGGGGTGAATGACTCTTTAATATATCAGAAATGATCATTGTGTATATTGAGAAGGTTATTATGGATTATTTGGATTGTTTTTTGGTAGAAACAATAGATTTTTTTTAGATATTTTGAATATATATCTTCCTAAAAACTGTTTAAACACCCTGCCCTAAGTAGTGTGCAGATGTGCTCCTGCAGCACTAGTGATGGGGACACCTCTTTATATGTGAAACCATCAGCTGACTGGTACAAACAATGCTTTTGTGTTATTTCCAGCAGCAAAAATGATATTAAACATTGTTTCACTCCCTGTCATTTTCTCTTTAACACCCATAACACTGGTAGGCTACAAAGCACACCCTGTTGTAACATTTGGGGTGGCACTGACCATCGGAGTCAAAAGTACTCATGTTGTTGGGCCTTTGGAGTGAAAGAGTGAAGGTTATAGACGGGGCAGAAGTGGACTGGCAATCCGAGTTCTGGAGAGTCCAAGAACGACCGGTGCTCTACTCCAAGCCGGTGGATGAATGCATCCCCACCCCCCTCTCGAGTTGGAAATCCCCGTCGGAGATCAAGCTGACTGCAGCAGCGATCAGACTCCTCCAACCCGCTCGGAGTTTGCTAATGATCTATATTTCTGTTTGGATATATGTCCAGCTCCATCCTCCTGCCTGTGGAGCATCTAACCATCGAACCACCGGCTGTTCAGGTGCTGCTGCTGTCATTGCGGGAACGTGCACAGTGTTGGATAAATCATCTCTTTTTGTGTCTCCTCTGTGCTGACGGGGCTGAATGCGCTGTGCGTCTCGCGGCAGTGATGCACCTTTGGCGCAAAATGCGGACATTCGTGGATCGCGTGTGCGACGTATCGGGAGTGGCTGCGCTGGGCACGGACTGTGGACGGCTGATGTTGGAGGGACAGATGTTTTTTTAGAACTCGGAGATTTTGACTAATAAATGACCCGAAAAACTACCACTGCGCACCGCCTAGAAAAAAGTATTTACAAAAGTTATGCCGAGAGGTCACAGAGTTTGAAGTGGCGGTGACCTCTCGGCAGCGAATCTGGTGTGATCTCCAGCCTGATCACAACTTCCTCTTTCCTCGCTGCCCCTGATGCACTCAAGCAGCCGCCCCTTAGCTGATGACAGCTTCAACACACCTCGCTGCTTAATGATAGTAATGCATGTGATGTTTAGACAGTGACTCTTCTCAGAAACGTATAATTCCCTGACAGAATTGTTTAGAAAATCATCAGAAAAGTTTCAGTGTTTCTGTTTTAACTTAAACTTCTGTTTTCAACTTTAAGACAAGTTGTTTGTGATTGTTTACAGAGTAGTGAGAACACGGAGCGTTCTCCCAGAGGCAGCCAGGTGCCTCTCGTTTGTCTGACTACTTTCATAAATTACTGTTAGGGCAAAGAATTATTCTGTCTGGTGCTTTCAGCGCTGCACAGATGTTACGTAAATGTTAAAAATATAGCTTACCACAACTTTTGTAAAGTTTCCTGTGCCACCGGGCAGCCGCAGCAGACGATCTCTGAAAAATGTCCGCGACACGGACTCCGTTGTTGTCTGGAAGGTTTTTTTTTCCAAGTTAAGAAAAGAGGCGGACGTGTTTCCTAAATCCTGCATCAGTCCAAGCAAAGGCAACTTCTGTCTGTTTTTATTCCGTTTTAGTAGCCATTAGCACTGTGCATTGTTGTGTGCGTCAGTGATTTTCAGTCTATGAGGAAATCGTGCAATGACAAAGGTTCCGCCTTGCTTGAAATGCAAGCTGCGATTAAATGCGTAAATTTTTTTAACGTGTTTTTTTTTTTCTAATTAATTAATCGTAATTAACGCGTTAAAGTCCCGGCCCTAATGTGTATGTATATATATATATATATATATATATATATATATATATATATATATATATATATATATATATATAATCTTTCAATCTGTCTTTCTGTTATTTCCTTTTTTATCTGCCAAAACCATCACTATTTTAGGAAGCAAATTGTTAAAAATTGTGTTAATGTTATGAATACATTTAAAAGTCACCTCATTGCTCATATTTCAAGTTTTTTACTTCCTCAGACCAGACCAATCTGCGTTCTCATGATGGGGCAGCCACGAAGCGTTATGGCCGGCAGGTTCACTCTTTCTTGCACAACACCTGTCACTCATACCGCAGCTCCAGGAGACTGCAAAACCTGATACTTTACAGTCTGAAGGCAATTTTTATTTGTTTATTAACGTGTCTTTCAACGCCAGCTGGCTCCGTGTTTTTGTCCGAGTTGCCATAGCGAACTGGGAGTATTAGTGGCAGACCAGGACCAAATGCAGACAGGTGATTCGCTGTGGCGAAATGCCAAAACAGAAAGCAGTTTTTGCAGCGTATCATGCAGCATTTCCACCATGTGAAAGGCCCAATATACACACATCACAGGTGTCTGTTGCCGTCTTCACTGTCCGATTTAAAATATGTTCAAACTGCAGACATCTTCTCTCTCCTGAGGCGACACGTTAGCTCTGCATTAGCCTGCTAGCTAACAGTTACATGTATTGTTGTCTGAATTCTTTGCCTGGTGTAAATTGTATGACGTTACAGAGTTAAATTGTGTTCAAATTTAACCTAAGTTATTGTTATTCCATTGAGAATTTTTAGCTCAGGATGAATTTAAATGATAACGTTTGTTGTTTTAAAGTTAAATTTTTTTCGACCCGATTTTGGTTGCTTGAAAATCATGCGATCGGCCCGCACTCCTGATCAGTCAGGAGCCTGTTGGTTTACCTATTTATCTAGTTTTGTTTCTAATTCCTTCACCTTTTCCCACCCACACAGAGACTAATCTGAAGAAGCAGGGCCTGCTGCCGCTGACCTTTGCCGACCCCAGCGACTACGACAAAATTCTTCCAGATGATAAGATTTCCATCAGCGGCCTGAAATCCTTCGCCCCTGGAAAGGTAAGCAAAACTCTGCACCAGTGGGACATCAATCCAAACGGTGGCCTTATTTTTGTTGACTTGTGACCTTTTGACCTTCTCCAGCCACTGACCGCAGTGATCACACACTGTGACGGGAGCCAGGAGACCATCTCACTGAACCACACCTTTAATGAAACACAGATTGAATGGTTCAAGGCCGGCTCTGCCCTCAACAGAATGAAGGAGCTTCAGTAATCATGAAGAAGAGTGGAGGGTTGTCAGCCGTGATTTAGGCTGTAGTAAAACAGCCAACACACACACACACACACACACACACACACACGGTCGCTGTAATGATGGAAGCGCACACACACACACATCAGCACTTAAATGTAGAAATGGGATTACTGGTAAGCCCTCCTGGTTCACATGCTAGATTACACAAAGTTCTCCAACGACACACATCTATTTCACGTCTATACTAACAGAACCCATCCCATTTTAAACGTTCCTTTTGTCTGTAACGGTGAACTAAAGCAGATTATCTATTTTCTAACTCTGTAAACACACTTATAGGAGTGTACATAAGTGATAAATCTTGTCTTCACTACTCCAGATGTTTTTTTTCTCCATTCAATGGAAAACACTGAAGGACTCATCAAACCAGTAGGTGGTGAAAACGTCCACATTAACACCACATCAACATGTAGTTAAAGAACATTTACAGATTCGATTCAAATCAGCTCACAATCGGTGTTTAATGGAGTCAGGATCTGGATAAAGTCGACTCATGAAAAGGCAGCAAGAAGTGAGTTTTTAAAAATGTCCATTTTGGGTTAGGGTCAGTCCACGTCAGTTTTATTTCTAAAGCAAATTAAAACAACCAGAAACAAAGATAACGCTTCCTTCATTGAGCCAACAAATGAAAGCAACCATTTATCTCCCTCTGTGGAGAGCAGCTGCTAAAATGGCATCCTTCTTCCACACTGTTGGCTACAGCGCCCTCTGCTGACTGCTTTGTTTTCTTGCTCTTGCAGGATATTTCTGCCACATTAATCACAAAGCTCTCCATCCTTCCACTAGACACTATAAAACCCTTCTGTCAGCAACCCAGAACCAATCCAGCTATTGTTTTAATCTCTTTTTCTGTTGGTCTTGTGTGAAAATGATAGTTTCTGATTATCCGTGGCTCTGTGGGACCTAACTGGGCGTGTTTGTCTCTGATTTTTAGTTGAGTCCTCCTTTATTCTTCTCACAGAAGAAGCTAACGCACAATCTAGTTGATTTACCTGGACAGAAGCTCTTATATCTGTGAACTTTATCCACATTACTTTGTTTTTTAGTCTCTTTAAGACTGAAACACAACAATCATCGGAACGACTCAGACATATTCAGTCATATTTTTTCCATGACGTTGGAGCTGATTTCAGCAGGTTTGGGGAGATTAAATTATCCCCCTTATGCAGAAAGTGTAGATTCACTTCTTTATTTTGCTGTTTGAATCAGTTGCTATAGTAACCAGCTAAGTCACTGATTTAGGATTTGTTTGTAAATGATGTGGTGTACAGCTGTGTTTTGTATAGGAGTGTACATAAGTGATAAATCTATATGTATATGAATAAAAGTACTGAGCTATAGGATGATGCTGTGAGCTGCCTGTGTCTGTGACGTTTAGCATCACTGGAACATTTGTATTAAAATGAGAGTTTTATGTGAAAAGGGAACCTTTGATGGATCCGTCTTGATTTCTCTAACGTGTTTTTGTTGTTTAATTGATCAGAAACTTTTGGGTATAAATGACTCCTCACACTCCTTCAGCGAAACAGAAATTTAAAGAGGAAGTCACTCCAAATCAACATTGTTTTGCTGATAAACTATATAAATGAGTGTCTAATTGTGTAGTCAATAATTCGGCACTTTAGTGCATCTTAGTTAAAATTAAAACATTCTGCCTAAAACTGTCAGCGATGCACCGTCATCAGGCAAAAACTCAGCACTGCATTGGAATTTAAATCTGCCATCGCTATTGGCTAAGAGGTACACTATGATGTTAGATGGTAAATTATGATGTCACAATGTTGTGAACGTGTGTATTTGTTAGCGGCTCCGCCCTCTCGGTCTGCTAGGCAACAGCATTTGTTGCATTTTTCAAACAGGAAGTGGGAGTTGAGTAAGAATCTGGTAGGGGGTGACTTGCTCTTTAATGATGCTTCATGCCTGACACAAATATTTTCAGATTTCCAAAACACCAAGCAAATTTAGTTTTGAAGTAAAATAACAAACCAAACGTGAATCCAAGTGATTCAGATTTGCCCTGGGGTTTGCTAGGTGTGGTCAGCCACCTCGTGTCATCTGATCAGGATGTGAAATGATGTATTTGTAGTTTAAACTTCATCTTGTAAACGTTTATAGCTTGCAAAGTTTAAATATCTTAATATATACAAAAATAAAGATCGTGTCAAGTGATTTGTGTCTGTTTTCCTTTTATTGATGAGTAAATTATGGGATTTATTAGATAAAATAACTGCTCTAGGAGAAGTTTGTTAAAAACCTGCGTAGAATTGAGAATTTTATCAAAGAACATATACGTTTTCCCTCCGTTATTAAAGTATTTATTCAATAGTATTTAGTGTTCACTCAGTAAAAAATTATCTTCTATTATTTCATGTGTCAAGCTCTAACGGGCCTTTGTTCTTTGTCTTATTAAAGAAACCTTAAGAAGAAGAAGAAGAAAGTATCATTTCTATAGCGCCCTTCAAGATAAAAAAAAATCACGAAAACTTCACAAAAACAAAAAATGTAAAAATATAAAAAAGTATTTAGAAAATGCTTAAAAATATATTAAAATGAGCAAAAATAGGCAATTGTGATTAAAAAAATGTTAAGAAAGAAAGTGCACAGAAAAGAGGGAAATCAGTGGATCCTGAGGAAGGTGGAATAGGTGGGGAGAGCAGAATAAAGAGAGAGTGGTGAAGAAGGTCATACAAAAGCCAGCTTGAACAAGTGAGTCTTCAGCTGTTTTTTAAAGGAGACCACTGAGTCCACTGATCTCAGGCTCAGGGGGAGAGAGTTCCAGAGTCTGGGGGCCACAGCAGCAAATGATCTGTCACCTTTGGTCTTCAGCCTGGTGCTGCACAACCAGTAGGCTTTGATCACTGGACCTCAGGGACCTGCTGGGGGTGTAGGGACTAAGAAGATCACCAATGTAAGATGGTGCTTGTCCATGTAAGGCCCTATTGACCAGAACCAGGATCTTGAAATGAACCCTGAAGTTGACTGGCAGCCAGTGAAGCTGGAGGAGAAGCGGGGTGATGTGGGTGTGTTTGGAGGACTTGGTCAGAAGCCGAGCACAGGCATTCTGAACCACCTGTAGACGGTTCAGGGAGGTTCTGCTCAGACACTTGAAAAGAGAGTTACAGTAGTCTAAGCGTGAGGAGATGAAGGTGTGGATAACTGTCTCAAGTTCAGAGTGGGACAGAATGGGACTCAGCTTAGCAACGTTCCTGAGATGGAAAAAGGAAGAGCGAACAAGAGAACTGACATGAGGATTCAGGGTGAGAGCCGGGTCAAAGGTCACGCCAAGATTCCTGACGGAAGGTTTGTTGTGAGAAGCAAGCTGACCAAGAGAGTCTCTGACTTTGGGAACCAGCTTGTCTGGGGCACAGATGAGGATCTCAGTCTAATCTTCATTCAGCTGAAGAAAGCACCCACCATCCAGGTTTTGATAGAGTCTAAGCAGGTGTGTAACAGCTGCAGCTTAGACATCTCATGGGGCTTAAAGGAGATGTACAGTTGGATGTCATCTGCATAAAGATGGTAGGAGATTCCTTTGAAGGAGCTCAGGATGTGCTGAAGAGGAAGCAGATAGAGGAGGAAGAGAAGAGGCCCCTGCACAAAACCTTGTGGGACACCATGGGTAAGAGAGGTGGTGGAGGGCCTAAACTTAATCGCCCTCCATATCAAAATCATACATTTATGAAAATAAAAAAGTAACATCACGTCGACGTCACAAACTGTCTCAAAATCCAATAGCGCAAAAGCAGTTCATGAATTAAAAGCTCTGACTGTGCATTTATAATTGGTCACAAGATGCTTCTGATCTTTATGGAGGTCAAACATTTTATCTCTGAAATAGATTTAAATGTACTGATTCAGTTGCAGACAGATAATAACTAATTCAAAAATGTTTTGTATATAATATATACAAATAAGTACCAAAAAAAACATTCTCTGGAGTTTTACTTTCTGTTGTCTCGGCCTGTTTGATCGTCTGTAGTAACAACGGATGTCCAGCAGGTGTCGGTAGTGAGTCTGTAGGAGCAGGCTGTCACCGTAAAAACAGAAGAAACGCCACTAATCACGTGGAACCATCATGGACGTTTGATTTTGTGTCTGCAAATAATTTGGCTGAACAATTACACACTTCTGTTCTTTTTGTTTTTCCGCTTTGCTCGTTGAAAGAGTAGAAGTGCTAAAAATGCTTCGCGGCTAAACCTGCTGTTTTTCCGGTTGGCACGAGGGCAGCTCCGCGTGTGTTTGTGAATGAACCATGTTCGTGCTGGTGGAGATGGTCGACACTGTTCGGATTCCTCCGTGGAACTTCGATAGGCAGTTGAATGAGGCCATGGCGGAGGAGCTGAACAAGAAACTGGCCAACAAGGTGAGGAAGAGTTTACTCTTCTTCATTCTGATGCTGAGGTCGAAAGTCATGTTCGTGTTTTTGTATTCTGACATGAAAGAGGTAGATAAAACACCTGCTACATGTAATTTTCTGAAGTAAATGTGCTTAATCTTCGGGAAGTATCTGGAGGTTTAGACTCTTTGTTTTACCTTTAGGCATTCACCTGTAAAATATCGGATAATATGGTGATTAAAGGTGCAGTATGTAGAAATGAAGAAAATTGACATCCTGTGGTAAAATTTGCTTACTGCAACCACATTAAACAACACTGGAGCTTTTTTGATGACTGTTGTCAAATTACAATTGTGGGTTTTGCAGTATTGGCTGCCAGGAGACACGGCAACCCCACACTTAAGCCGGTGTCGGTACAGTATCTGCTCAGGTGCAAGATCGGCTCGGGGTCCTTCGACTGCCGATGACGTCAAAGTACGGCAAACCCACTCGGACAAAATACACTACACATCTATACTGTTGGAAAGAATTTAGCAGTTTCGTTATTAAAATAATGTTTCTTAAGACGTAAGTTTGTGTTTATAATGGTATTTGTAAAATAAAACACTATTTTATTCATAATGTTGAACTCCTCTTTGAGCACATCCCTTGAAGGATCATAGGTATTAGCAACACCTGTGAAATTGTATTTGCAGGAAAGAAGTGTGTCCCGTTTATTTAAGTATTTTGTGTTTAGAGTTTTTGACGTCTTGTCCATGAGTAGTTCAGTTACGCTCATAGCTGCTAGCTAAAACTCTGGAGTTAAAAGTTTTCTGGCTTTACTAAAATACCTGTCTGTACTTATTTGATTTATGGTATTTTTACTTTCTATTAGACTCCAAATGTAATCATTTGGCACGTTTCTAATTCATTATTTGCAATAATGTAATCGGCGATATTAGCATTAGCATTCCTATGGGTTTTTCCATGTATATTAGCATTGCGCTAACCACTCGCTGCCAAATTGCAGCCTTTGAGATTAGAAAATCTCCTGGCTTTACTAAAATATCTGTCTGTACTTATTTGATTGATGGTATTTTTACTTTCTATTAGACTCCAAATGTAATCATTTGGCACGTTTCTAATTCATAATTTGTAATAATGTAATCGGCGATATTAGCATTAGCATTCCTATGGGTTTTTCCATGTATATTAGCATTGCGCTAACCACTCGCTGCCAAATTGCAGCCTTTGAGATTAGAAAATCTCATTTTGTCACATCGCAATTTAATTGCACATGCAGTTAATCGTTCAGCCCTAATATACATGCAGCTCTATGCTAAAAGTGTATTTTCAAAGAGGTAATGATGGATTTCTTTGTAAAAGTTGTCCATCTTTCCAATAGAAAGATTTGCCTGGACCAACGTAACGTGATAACAACGTAACGTGATTACGTAATTCCGTGAGGTTCATGTTCAGCCAATCAACTACTTAGACGTCATCGGCAGTCGACGGACCCCGAGCCGATCTTGCACCCGAGCAGATCCTGTACTGACACCGGGCGTACACTGTGTGACTTTTTCACTCGCAGCGTTCAGCTTCAGCTCAAACTGTACGACTTCCTCGCAGAGCAGATCTCACGAGTCGTGTGCTCACACTGTACGACCCAGTTCTCGCATGCGACCTGACTGCTCACACTGTACGTCTGGTAGCAACAGGTCGGCCCTAAAAATGTGCTAAAAATAGCAGTTTTTACTCAACACGTCAGACTTTTTTGTCTTGCCTGTTGTCCTTCGGGAGTGCTGCAGGAGGACACACAGGGATTTATGGGGGCTGGATGAGGAAAACGAAATAAAGAAAGTGAATCTGTGTTTTGTGATCAGTTTAATTTGACATGAACACGACAAACACGCTTTCTAGACAATCTTTGTGAGTAAAAAAAACGTGTAGAAACAAAAACGAACAGCGTGTGTTATTAGGGAAATAGCGAGCGACCGGCGTTGATGCAGGATTGCGCGCGCATGCGCCGTGAGCAGTTCTGATGCTTTTTGGATCGTAGCTGCTCGCAGCACCGCTTCAACAGTGCGATACCCTCACGAGGGACGAGCGAAATATTAAACTCACCAGAAGTCCCTGCGACCTCACGACTGCTGATCGGCGGCTGGTCACGTGGTGTTAATCGCCTCTCGTAACCCCCTGTACACTACACGACCGCTCGGCGCAAAACTCGCCCCGATGTCGTGGATTCTCGCACGACTGGAAAATCGGCTCAAAAAAGTGAAAAAGTTGCACAGTGTACGCCCGGCTTTACAGATGGTAACCAGCAGTTACGTCCCTTCTTCCTTTATTTTGAAAGGAGAAAACTGACAATTCCCTCAGTCAGCTGGATATGCAATGTTCCAGTGTAACCTTCCTTCCAAAATGACTGAAATATTAGACTCTTGGGATTTTCTCACTGTAAAACTCTCACTTTATGTCTTAAGCCGGGCGTACACTGTGCGACTTTTTCACTTTTTTGAGCCGATTTTCCAGTCGTGCGAGAAGCCACGACATCGGGGCGAGTTTTGCGCCGAGCGGTCGTGTAGTGTACAGGGGGTTACGAGAGGCGATTAACACCACGTGACCAGCCGCCGATCAGCAGTCGTGAGGTCGCAGGGACTTCTGGTGTGTTTAATATTTCGCTCGTCCCTCGTGAGGGTATCGCACTGTTGAAGCGGCGCTGTGAGCAGCTGCGACCCAAAAAGTATCAGAACCGCTCACGGCGCATGCGCGCGAAATCCTGCATCAACGCCGGCCGGTCGCTCGCTATTTCCCTAATAACACACGCTGTTCGTTTTTGTTTCTACACATTTTTTTTAACTCACAAAGATTGTCAAGAAAGCGTGTTTGTCGTGTTCATGTCAAATTAAACTGATCACAAAACACAGATTCACTTTCTTTATTTCGTTTTCCTCATGCGACCCCCATAAATCCCTGTGTGTCCTCCTGCAGCACTCCCGAAGGACAACAGGCAAGACAAAAAAGTCTGACGTGTTGAGTAAAAACTGCTATTTTTAGCACATTTTTAGGGCCGACCTGTTGCTACCAGACGTACAGTGTGAGCAGTCAGGTCGCATGCGAGAACTGGGTCGTACAGTGTGAGCACACGACTCGTGAGATCTGCTCTGCGAGGAAGTCGTACAGTTTGAGCTGAAGCTGAACGCTGCGAGTGAAAAAGTCGCACAGTGTACGCCCGGCTTTACGTACTGCACCTTTAGAATTTAGAAAAGTTTCTGACTCTGCTGCATCATTAGCTGAGTTAGGATTTGGGCTGAGTTTAAGTCGTATAACACACAACCCCTTTTCCTCTCCTATGTTCTGTATTTATCTAGTTTTTATAACAAATGCTTCTTATCTCTAACACAGGTTGTCTACAACGTGGGCCTCTGTATTTGCCTGTATGACATCACCAAACTGGAGGACTCCTATATATTCCCAGGAGATGGTGCCTCGCACACTAAAGGTATAAAACATTTAAAGTCACAAATCCAACTTTTTTTTATTTACTATCATTTTATCTAAAGTCAAATCCTTGCGTATGTTTGCCAGTGTTCTGGGTACTTTAATGAGAATAGTCCCTTTGTTGTTTTTGCACCAGTTCATTTCAGGTATGTTGTTTTTCACCCGTTCCTTGATGAGATCCTCACTGGAAAGATCAAGTACTGCAGTCAGGAGGGAGTTCACGGTAACTTCTAGCGCCACACTCCAGATTTACTATTGCATTAAAGGGGACATATTCAATGGTCGATACTAAACATGTTTACACTTTTTTTTTATTGCACCAAATCCCTCTCACATGAAGCGATTTAAGCAGTTTCAGTACCTACCAGAATGAGCCACTAAACAGCTCTTTCATTTTAAGAAAACAAGCTGGGCCATCCATCCTTGCTCAGGCTACTAAAGGCTAAGAAGCTCCGATATCAGGGAGGGGCTCAGAATAGAGAAGAAGAAGAAGAAAGTATCATTTCCATAGCGCCTCTCAAGATAAAAATCACGAGGTACTTCACAAAAACAAAAAATGTAAAAATATAAAATAGCATTTAGAAAATGTTTAAAAATATATTAAAATGAGCAAAAATAGACAATTGTGATTAAAAAAATGTTAAGAAAGAGAGAGAGTGAATAGGAAAGAGGGAAATCAGTGGATCCTGAGGGAGGTGGAATAGGTGGGGAGAGCAGAATAAAGAGAGAGAGGTGAAGAAGGTCATACAAAAGCCAGCTTGAACAAGTGAGTCTTCAGCTGCTTTTTAAAGGAGACCACTGAGTCCACTGATCTCAGGCTCAGGGGGAGAGAGTTCCAGAGTCTGGGGGCCACAGCAGCAAATGATCTGTCACCTTTGGTCTTTAGCCTGGTGCTGCACAACCAGTAGGCTTTGATCACTGGACCTCAGGGACCTGCTGGAGGTGTAGGGACTAAGAAGATCACCAATGTAAGATGGTGCTTGTCCATGTAAGTCCCTGTAGACCAGAACCAGGATCTTGAAATGAACCCTGAAGTTGACTGGCAGCCAGTGAAGCTGGAGGAGAAGCGGGGTGATGTGGGTGTGTTTGGAGGACTTGGTCAGAAGCCGAGCACAGGTGTTCTGAACCACCTGTAGACGGTTCAGGGAGGTTCTGCTCAGACACGTGAAAAGAGAGTTGCAGTAGTCTGAGCGTGAGGAGATGAAGGTGTGGAGAACTGTCTCAAGTTCAGAGCGGGACAGAATGGGACTCAGCTTAGCAATGTTCCTGAGATGGACGAAGAAAGAGCGAACAAGAGAACTGACATGAGAATCCAGGGTGAGAGCCGCTGCTCCTTCAGCAGCAACTATTTCTTGCATGTGAGGGGTGGATCCAGTCCTCCAGACAAACTCCTCCCTGCTTCCTTCTTTTTCACCTCACAAGTAACTTTTTAACTAGCAGATCAAATTGATCTATTGACCACAAAAAAAGCGGAGTGAGCGCCGCGCTGCACGGCTGCGCCAGTGACGAGCGCTGCGGCGCGAGCGCGGCCATACGTCATGCTCAAATACAGACAGAACTTACCAGAGAGAAAATGAACGGACACAAACGACTGTGTGTTAATTATATATTTTTTGGTGAGGCCCTTTAGAAACTTAGAAAATGTTACTGTGGCCGTGTGCAGAACACACCTGGAGTCCATAAATAATCAGCGGTCTGCCTGCCGCTCTGCATCTCTGCCCCAAAAGAATCCCCGCTACTCTGAGTCCATGTAAATAATATAATAAGGGTACAAACTGGATCTCTTTTGTGCTCCTTCTGGGTGTGTGAGTTAAGGGCATCAGGTGAGCCTGACAACCATTAAGGAGAACCAAGTTGCTCTCCTGTAATTTGAAGCCAGTATCCAACTCCGGATCGGGGCTTGGATCGGGAAGTAAAGCCCGAGTCCTGATCAGTCTGAAACCACGTGATCGGGGCCGATTTCCGATCATGTGATCGGATCGGGACATCCCTAGTAGAGACCCACATGGCAGCAAAAAAAAAAAAAAAAGATGCAAAATGTGAGTTTTGCAAAATATTCCACCTTTAATATTGTGATACTTTAACATAGATGTGTGTGTTTAATACAAACACATTTGCAAGAATATAAAAAAGAAAATTATGGAAGCACTTGAAAAATAGCCATGATGGAATTTCTACACCCAGATGATTTTATCATTTATCATACAAATTAAAAAAAATAAATAAATATATATATATATAGTGTGTGTGTGTATATATATATATATATATATATATATATATATATATATATATATATGTATATATATATATATATATATATATATATATATGTATATATATATATATATATATATATATATATATATATATATACACACATTAAAGGATGTAAGAAAATATCGATATGGCAATATATCGTGATATTGTATTGATATTCAAAAGATGTATATCGAAAATATCGTTATGGTAATATTTTGTGATATTTTATCCTGTGATTTTATATTAATATTCAAAATCCATGTATCAAATTTTTGGAAGAATTTACATGCAAATATTTGTGTATTTTCTTTTCTTTTGGTGCAATTTAAATGCAGACCGCTAGTTGGCAGCAGTGTGCAATGTGTTTTGTTTCCACCACTGAAATATAAATCCCTCTGTTATGGTTCAGATACCTCGCATTAAAAATGTTAAGTATCAGTTTGGACTAGGGCTGGGCAATAAATCGAAAATTTATCATTATCAAAATTTCTGACTCTTATCGTGATCATTTTTCCCGTGTCAATAAATTAGATAATAAAGAAATGAAAAGATGTGTAGGTTGGTAACGTTCACATCCCTTTAAGAAGCTGTACCACCTTGAGTCACGTAAAAATGTGACTCAAGTAATACGTGTGACAGCCCCATCTAGTGGACAACTTTTGTTTCTGCGCATACCTGTAGTTATCGCCCATTTATCGTTATCGAGGTGAAATTCTCAATATATTGTGACACTGATTTTAGGTCTCATCGCCCAGCCCTAGTTTGGACTGTTTATTCAATATTCCTACAAAAAATTCTGTCTAAAAAAATTGCTGATATCGTATTGTATGGCAATGTATCGTGATATGTTGTATTGTCTCCCCTATATCGTGATACTTGTCGTATTGCCAAAATTTCACCAATACACATCCCTTATATATATGGAATTTTAGTCATTGCTGCAATTATATGTTATTTTACTGTTATCCTCTGCTTTCCAGGTACGCTGTTTCTTTCATGTCTGATGCAAGAATGACAAAATATCCTTTAACAGTAAACGCTTTAACAGCTGTGTACCAGATTTCAACAGGAGCTTCTCACTCTGCTGCTTCACAGTGACCATGGGCTTCTTTGATGATATTCTCATCCCTCCTGAGTCTCTCCAGCAGCCTGCAAAGTTGTATCCAGAGTTAGAAGCACAGTGGTTTTGTTTTTACTGCATTTGCTGAGTGTGTGACTGGAGTCTTATGGATCTGGGGTTGGTTGAGCCTTCCTTAGCCGTAACTCCAGTGATGAAGCGGAGCAGGTCTGGGTCTGGGAGTACGAGACGGATGAGGGAGGGCACGACCTCTACATGGACCAAGGGGAGGAGATCCGCTTCCGGGTGGCGGATCAAGTTTTCGTGGACACGTCACCAACAGGCCCTGCTGTAGCTGCGTCTGACGCGCCGGCACAAGCGGGGCAGGCAACGGCGCCGCCAGCAGAGGCCAGCGAGGGGAAGAAGGAGGCACCGTACACTCTGATTGTAAGAATCATACAGACAAATTAAAAATCAGCTCTCGTAAAGATGATTAAACTGTGGGAGCAGTCACCATTTCAGGGTATTTGTAAACTCTTTCTGGTGCTCAGTTCATGTATTCAGTATTTTGACTGAATTAGATTTTGATATTTTATTTGTCTTTTAAGTAAATGGGAGCTTTAACTCATTTGCTGCCAGCGTTTCTCACCGTTTTTACAGTTTTTTTTAAGTCACAGAACGTTGCGCGCTAGGATGACGTTGACGCCAAAACAACCAAAACAAAGCGGAGACTCACCTCTTACATCAGGAAGAATCCGCGCGTTTTGAGCGTTATCCGTTCTTTCATAATCTGTTGTTGAATTGTGATCGGCAGAAGCTTTTCCGGTTCGCGCCTCACTTTTTTTTTTACAGCAGCGGCCCAAAACGATCTAACACATGGATGTTCTGCTTCCTGATCACGTGACGTATACGGATGAAGATCCGCTTTAGAGCTGAGGTGTTTGTTCTCACGGTGTGGGGGCTCGTCCGATGCCCACACAGTAAAAACATGCAAATGACGAATTTACTCGTCATTGGCAGTGAATGAGTTAAGCATCTGGTTATGAGAAACCCTAGCCTGGGAAGCCATCCTCTATAGGTGAATATATAGTCTGGACACGGCCCGTTGACGGCTCTCAGTAGTGGGCCTGGGTCTACGGTTTTCTTCCAGACTGTCTCTGCATGCTATTGGATATCAAACAACATGACGCACTCGCCGCTACCGATGTAAGTCAACGGGGCTTTCTGCCATACTCGTCCAGGGTATCCGCAGGTCTTAAATTAGCTTTTCCAAATTTAAGGCCTTAAAAATTACAAATAATACTTAAATACATTTTCCAGAGGTCTTAAATTTTCAAAGACCCAATAAACAAGATTCTTTTATTTCTATAAAATTTTCATGAATTTCTAGTTAGCGTTCAGCATTTTTTGTGTACGATGTTGGCGTAAGCGGAACCGTACACATTCAGTTGGATGTGAAAGGGGGCTATTTTTAGATGAGCACATTAGCTGGTTAAGCTAGTGGGAGCTTGCGCCATGGGGAAGTGCAAGTTTAATGGTAACTGGATGGCTAATCCCCACATTTGCGACACGGTTAGCACCGGTTCCAGGCAATAGCTGGAAATTAAAGCTTAAATGTAATTTTAAAAATAGCTTAAATTTGGTCTAAGTGGCCTTAAAAAAGGTCTTAAAAAGTCTTAAATTTGGCTCCCTTAAACCTGCAGATACCCTGTCATCATGGAAGATGGAAACACATCATTTTTCTAAATAAACTAAAGTACCTCTGTCTGCTCTTGACTCATGGAAAAGCCCAAGCCCCGGACCGGACCCTTAAAGAACAGGCGGACTGTCGCATTGTGAGCCCCACTTAAAGCCGGGCGTACACTGTGCGACGTTTTCACTTTTTTGAGCCGATTTTCCAGTCGTGCGAGAAGCCACGACATCGGGGCGAGTTTTGCGCCGAGCGGTCGTGTAGTGTACAGGGGGTTACGAGAGGCGATTAACACCACGTGACCAGCTGCCGATCAGCAGTCGTGAGGTCGCACGGACTTCTGGCGTGTTTAAAATTTCGCTCGTCCCTCGTGAGGGTATTGCACTGTTGAAGCGGCGCTGGGAGCAGCTGCGACCCAAAAAGTATCAGAACCGCTCATGGCGCATGCGCAATCCTGCATCAACGCCGCTCGCTATTTCCCTACTCTAACAGCACCCCCACCCCCGGTCCGGCCCTCCAACTCATTGAAAGATTTATATCTGGTACCCGTGGTCTAGAGTCTAGGATAGAGAAAACGTGGATATTTTGATGAAGTAAAGATAACATCTATGGGATTCATTTTTCCAGCTGTTTACCTGAACTACATATTTTTCTGATTCCTAACTGTGGGCAGCATGTCAGCAATCAACCTGATCCTTTATTTTATGTTTTCATTCAGGGGACCATCTGTGAGTCTGGCCTGGGCCTGCTGTCATGGTGGAACAGCTAGCACTACACAGGAAGACGGGAGTGTGTGTGTGTGTGTGTGTGTGTGTGTGTGTGTGTGTGTGTGTGTGTGTGTGTGTGTGTGTGTGTGTGTGTGTGTGTGTGTGTGTGTGTGTGTGTGTGTGTGTGTGTGTGTGTGTGTGTGTGTGTGTGTGTGTGTGTGTGTGTGTGTGTGTGTGTGTGTGTGTGTGTGTGTGTGTGTGTGTGTGTGTGTGTGTGTGTGTGTGTGTGTGTGTGTGTGTGTGTGTGTGTGTGTGTGTGTGTGTGTGTGTACACAAGTCTTGACTCAAAGAAGACGAGCTGCAGTTGGAATCCGTCAAATCAGTGATACTGACTTTGTTTTCTGAGCCCAAAACATTTAAAGGAACATTTCACTCTTAAATGTGTTTAATAACAAATTGATTATGTTCCCCCCCCCCCCCATAATTATTTTACTGATGACTTTTAATTTACTCACCTCTGTTTCACGACTCAGACTTCAACGCAGAGTTGGAAGCTACGTTGTTACCTGAATTAATCTTTCCAGGGAGAAAATCCAACGTCGTTTCTTTTGATTAGAAACTTCTTTTTTGTTTTTGTGATCTAAAAAAACAGCAGCATCACATCAATAGGAAGAAACCATTTCTAAAGGGTGACAAATATGAAAGATTTTTGTGACTTTTATCTCCGATTCACGTGAACAGACCGTGTAATAATCAGCTGACATGTTTTAGTTGTTTTCTGTCTCACGTTGCAATAAAGTTTCAGCAACTGGAATGGTCTGAGTCTAGTCTACTCACTGTTCATGCAGCCGGTATGTAAAAGGAGATAACGAGCAGGCTTTAAATCCCGTCTCAGTGGGATGTGAAGGACAAGTGTGCTCCTAAAGGGATATTTCAACCATTCAGGATTGTGGGTCTGTGTTAAAATATAATTTCTATTTTACCCATTTTAGATGGCTTCTCAAACATTCTCCATTATCAGGTTCTGGCTGGCAGATGTGCTTTCATCGCTGAGCTCAGACTTTTATTTCTGACATTAAATACATAGATTTTTGGTCATTTTTAGGTACTTCTGTGTAAAAGTACTACATTTAGCAAGGAGCAAAGTGTGTTGTGGTTGTCTCGAAACCGTTGCAGGCTTCAAACCTTTGCAGCGATTCATGCAAACTTTATTTTATAACCATTTATTCTGCACTTTCACAAGGTTTCATGGTTATTTAGAACAAAATAATAACAGATTCATGCCAGCTTGAGCGGTTTAAACTTACTGATAATCACAGAATTCTTTCTGTTGTGGATTTTTGGAGACTGCAGCTGTTTAAGGTGCCAGTAACACGTTTCCTGCTCCTCCCTACAGGAAGATAGTGAGGTCGTCGTCGTCGTCTTCCTCCGCTTATCCGGGTCCGGGTCGCGGGGGCAGCATCCCAACTAGGGAGCTCCAGACCGTCCTCTCCCCGGCCTTCTCCACCAGCTCCTCCGGCAGGACCCCAAGGCGTTCCCGGACCAGATTGGAGATGTAACCTCTCCAACGTGTCCTGGGTCGACCCGGGAGCCTCCTGCCGGCAGGACATGCCCGAAACACCTCCCCGGGGAGGCGTCCAGGAGGCATCCTGACCAGATGCCCAAACCACCTCAACTGGCTCCTTTTGATCCGGAGGAGCAGTGGTTCTACTCCGAGTCCCTCCCGAATGTCCGAGCTCCTCACCCTATCTCTAAGGCTGAGCCCGGCCACCCTACGGAGGAAACTCATTTCGGCCGCTTGTATCCGCGATCTCGTTCTTTCGGTCATTACCCAAAGCTCATGACCATAGGTGAGGATTGGGACGTAGATCGACCGGTAAATCGAGAGCCTGGCTTTCTGGCTCAGCTCCCTCTTCCCCACGACAGATCGGCTCAGCGTCCGCATCACTGCAGACGCCGAACCAATCCGCCTGTCGATCTCCCGATCCCTCCTACCCTCACTCGTGAACAAGACCCCGAGATACTTAAACTCCTCCACTTGAGGTAGGACCTCTCCCCCGACCCGGAGGTGGCAAGCCACCCTTTTCCTGTCGAGAACTCCTCCTTGAACCGTCACTCCTCCTTGAACCGTCTCTCCTCCTTGAACCATCACTCCTCCTTGAACCGTTACTCCTCCTTGAACCGTCACCTTATCGTGGTGGAGGAGTTTGAGTGCCCTAATGATCCTAGGAGCTATGTTGTCTGGGGCACTTAGTGCCCCTGGTAGGGTCTCCCATGACAAATTGGTCTTAGGTGAAGGGTGAGACAAAGAACGGTTCGAAGGATCTTTCATGGCGGTTAAAACGAAGAGTCGGAGTACCCGGCCCGGAGGGTTACTGGGGTCCCACCCTGGAGCCAGGCCTGGGGTTGGGGCCCGTGAGCGAGCGCCTGGTGGCCGGGCTTTCGCCCATGGGGCCCGGCCGGGCCCAGCCCGAACCGGATACATGGGCTCGTCCAACTGTGGACCCACCACCCGCAGGAGGAACATGAAGGGTCCGGTGCAATGCGAATCGGGTGGCAGACCAAGGCGGGAGCCTTGGCGGTCCAATCCCCGGACAAGAAAACTAGTTTTTGGGACATGGAACGTCACCTCGCTGGCGGGGAAGGAGCCGGAGCTTGTGGCAGAGGTTGAGCGGTACCGGCTAGATATAGTCGGACTCACCTCGACACATTGCATTGGCTCTGGAACCCGAGACCTGGAGAGAAGATAGTGAGGTGTCATTCACAACCCTACCTGCTGTAGCTAGCGCTAACAATGAGCTAACACTAACATGAGCCAACTAATACTGAAATAAACCACGTAGTAAAAAGATCCACACTGAAGGACAAAAAATATTGCTTACAAGTCCAGTAGCAACAAAGCCAGGTCACCATCCGTCTGTGATTTTGTAGCCTCCTAGGCTGTGCTGATGTTCACTCTGGTTTTAGCTCTTTGAGTCACCTCCAAAGATGTTACTCTCTTACTTCCAGACTCCGCCATGATGCCAACAGAAAAAGCAAACTTCTTCCTTTTCTTCTTTAGCTTTTTAACTGACTTTCGTGAACTGAAAATGCAAACTGCTAGGATAATAGCTAACAGCTGTAAAGCAAATAAAGAGCGCCTCCTAGAACACCTACCCGCTCCACAAAACTTTCTAATGCGGTTTTTGTTCAGTAGAGGGCTGCAGAGTGGTGTCAGATTTGAAAATGGTCACGTTTCTAACACAACAATCACTGACATCAATTTTAAAGCTCTAGCTTAAAGTTTAAAAACTATATATTGTTTCTTTAAGATGGTATTTGTAACTTTCACACGAAACACTGTGGTCAAAGCATTCATTCAAGATGTTTGGTCAGCTAGCTGTTAGCATATTAGTCCTGTAGGATGCCAAAATGTAAATATGTGCAAAAACATTATTGCAAATACAATTAAACGCAAAATACTTTAAAAATAAAAATATCTTGTGATAAGTTGATCGAAACGTAAAATTATTTAGCTTGACTTAACTTTTACATAAAATACTCTTCAAAAGGCCTAAAACGTCACTTTTAAGGTGTTTTCTCATACATTTGCATCATCAAACATATTTTCCTGAACAGTTTGGTTAGTCATTGTTTATAACTTAGAAACTCTTCAACATGACCGAAAATGTGAATGTCAGACTGAGGAAAGACAAAAGGCTGCTTCAACACGGACTTCCTGTAAAAACACACGGACCAGATACTTGTAATGTGTTGTCACCACGGCTGCGCACAGCTGTGCGAGTGTGAAAACGTGTAAAATGCTGGTGAAAAGCCCAGAGCCTGGTCCAGCTGCAGGTCAGGCGGTCACTTTCACGCAGTCGCATCACGCCGTCGGAATCTCCGGCAGCTGCGCAGACTCCGCAGCGTCACAGCAGGCATTTCCTCCGCTCTGCGCGGATTTACTGCGCTTAATTCACCCAACTGCGCCATTCATAACCCGCAGCGGGTTAAAACACACATCCGTACCGAGTGGAAACGGTCGCGCCACCGGAGCTGTAAGTACCGGGTGTGTGGATGCGGAGGGACGGGGTGGGTGGGGCTCGCTTTGTGTTTGCATCGGGACAATGATTCCTGTGTTTGATGGCTGAGCGCCGCTAAATGAGGAATGATCCGATTTGTTGCTATAGGGAGAGTCTCCGTGCTTGTTTCAACCTCCACCCTGTCTCTGCCCTGGTTCCGATTGTCTGCTTCTAATGAGCATTAATCTATTTTTACACATAAAAAAACTCCTGGGATCTGAGAGCATTTTACTCTATTTGCTGAATAAAAAAAAACATGAAGACAGAAAATTAGTCCGGAGAAAATCATTTAGGACATTCTTTTTATTGTACGAGGACTGTCCCCGACATGGACATCAGTCACGTCAAACTGCAAATTCTTCATTAGATAAAAATCTTTTTGACTTTGATTTTTCCTGTTTTAGATCCAGTTCTCATTCCCGGTCATTTCTCACGGGAACTGCGGATTTCACGGTCACGTTTCTTGTGGTATTCCTCAAGGATCAGGAGCCTATATATAAACATATGTGTGTGTGTACGGGAACAGGTCACTGACGTCACAACGCACCACTCTGCAGCTGTTTTCACGTCACGCCGTCCGCCTGCATCATCAGAGATGCGGGCGTACACACATACACACACCGGACCAGCCACACAGAACAACACTGAGACCGTGGAGCTGCTGGTTTAGATGGAGGAAGTGAATAACAGGTCACCTGACCACGATGGATTACTCACCTCCAATGTGAGTTTAATACACATTGTAGTCACAGCAGTCAGGTCAGGGTGATATACGGGTGATCTAATCTCCTCATTGATTGGGCTGCTTCCTGTTGAGACATGTTAGCTAATAAAAGTCTAGTTAAAGGCTGTTCTAATGTGTCTCAGACTATAATTTATGAATGCTGATTAAAGTGGCTAAAGCCACTGTTTAAGCTCAAAGTGCTGTGTTGTGGAAAAGTAACTGATCCAATCCAACATCAGTGATACCTGTTAACGAGTCTCACATCAAGGTGGAGGGATTTTTCCCCACTCCTCTTTACAGGGTAGTTTATTTCAGCAAACAGAGGGCTTTAAGGTCTAAGATGTTCTAATTGTAGATGTTTTGTTAGATAGCAGAATTAATGGTTCCATTAGTTACAGCAAGTGGTCCTTAAGCAGCAGAGCAGTCCCACACCATCACACTACCACCACCGTGTTGTTGCTTTTACACTTAGGTTTAGGGCCAAAATGAGAGGTGGGTCTTTGTACTCATTTTGGCCCTGGGACTCTTCAACGAGGGGCGTGATGTGTTGCTTTTTGAGATCTTTTAGCCTACTTCATGTTATCAGTCAGGCTCTGTTAAAGTGCTTCATTAATACAGCTTTCCTAGTGCGGAAAGGTGGAGAAACGAGGGCCCGGGCAGGATTCGATCCCCAGACTCCCTGGTGAGAGTCACGCGCGCTAACCAGCCAGCCAAAGGGACATCCCCTTGGCCAAGTAGCCAGGGCGCATGATCAATCGGGACACTGTGATAGGACGCTCACACTGCCACACTAGTATTGTGATAAATCATACATAATCTAATTTAACAGTGGGAACACTAGTTTTGCTAGTATATTGATTACTTTGAATTGAATTGAATTGAATAACTTTTATTTGATGTAGAGGGACAATGTGCATTAATAAATATTTTACAATGTAAATGTACCCAATCATAGCCAAAAGGCAAATTTCCATTAGTCCCCCTGCCGTCGGGCACATAGTATAAAACAACATTTAAAGTTATAAACATTTTAAAAACAATACAAGTAAAACAACATTACATAGAGTAACCCCCCCCCCCCCCCCCCCCCCCCCCGCACCGCACACACTCACCCACACCCAAATCAATCATATTCACTCTAACAATCATGGACCTAATTTTCACATTGGAAGTGTTGGGGTGGGGGGGGGGGGGGGGGGGGGGGGGGGGACAGGCTTCAACACAAACGGTTGCTTTCCGCTTGGTCCTAGAGCTCAACCAGTGTCAATTTAATATAGCGTAATATTGTTTTTGGATGGTAAAAAGTGCAGGGGTCAAAACTTGACTTTGGAAAAAGTGTGTGTGTGTGTGTGTGTGTGTGTGGGGGGGGGGCATGTCCCCCCTATCGCCCCCCCCCCCCCAATTACGTCCATGCTAACAGTAACACTTATACATTGGTTCTCAAAACTAGTGCTGATCAATTTGAGTGTCAATCAACCGTTTCTTTAATTTTATTTTAAATGTGCTTTATGTGACAGAGTCTCCGGAATTGTAGCCGCCTCATAAGTGAAAACTGATTGTCCAAAGGAACTTTTCCTGCATGGTACCACACATTCCCCTCTAGCAGCCCCTCGAGTAACACGTGTTACAGATGATCGAAATTCTACAAGACTACAAAGAGGAGGTGGAGCTAAGCTGTTTTTGATCTTGTACATGAGACAACAGTTTTTAAAAATGACAAGATTGCTCCAGTTTAGGAGCCTATATTTACTAAGGATCGTGCAATGATGAAAGGGTCTTGGTTTTTTATCTAGAATTTTGATAGCCTGTTTATATAAAGATTTTAGTTTGCAGAGGCCCGAGCAGGTAAACAATAATTCATGTGAGATATTACGAGAGCAAACATGTACATTTTTGCAGCTTCTGTTGACATATGATTTCTGAGGTGCTTAAAATTTACAAGTGTGGCATTTATACATTTGGTTACATTTTTAACATGTTGTTTAAAACTCAAGTTACTGTCTAAAATAATATTGTAGCATATTTCAATTAAAAATTACAATTCATGGATGACAATTTACCAGCTTTGATATTAAAAACTTGTTTTAAAAGCTTTACCTGCGTCTGGATGGAAAGCTAAAATGAAATGAGAGCTTTGGATGCGTGAATGTTCTCAGAAGCTTTCTTTCAGAGAGAGAAGCGCGTTCTGGGTTGGAAATGATGGTTTTGCAGCTAACTGTTGTTACTTAGAGAAACAGCATCAGACGTCATCTGTCGAAAGTGTCTACCTCACCCAGTTTCAAGGGACCCCCTTTTGGATCCGAGATGTCAGGTGGAGATGATTTCCTCCACGCACGAGGATGGTAGAAGGACCTCAATATGACCAAATCAGTCCAGGGATGTCTCCGTGGGTCACACGACTGATGAAACTATTTGCGTCTCAAAATCAACAACTCTGAAGGAGCTTTGCGTCAGCTGGTTATCGTGCGTTTATTCGAAGCTATTCTATCAGCGTGACGGAACAGCAGGTGGAGGTTAGGGCGGTCGTTCCCTTATCCTCAGTGATGGTGGTTGGTTCACGAACTGAAATTTACGCTGCTGGAAAGTTAGTTTTGACAAACTCCTCAGAACACGCCCACTCTCAGAGCAAGAAAGCTTTGGTCATGAGAGGAAGACATGTGATGGCAGATTACCCTTTACTCTGGATAAGCTCTGTGTTAGATGGATAAAGTGGAAGTTGACCTTCTGGTTCCTGAACACACATTACTGATCATCAACTATAATCATGATTATACTCAAAGTATAATAATTCATTTCAGTAATTAAAAATACATTTATACTTAACCAAGTGATTATTTATGATGATTATAATAACAGTAATAAAGTCAGTTTATTAAAATTATTATTTAAAAATTATTATTGTGATCTTGAAGTGTCCTTCAATCTGGGACGGAACAGCAGCAGATATAGATGATATTCCGCAGCCATCATGACTCCTCGCTTGTTTAATCTGTGGGGCAAAGTTACAGTCGACCCAGCTGACCCAGCTGGGAAAATGTGACCTTTGTCACACATTAGAAGACCTTCGTGATGCTACAATATCTAGATATTTGTATTCATTTACATTTTGAATCCTCTGTCCAGAAATAACAACATTAGGTTCTGTATAAACCTTTTTTGTGTTTTAGTAAAAAACATCATATCAGTTTTAGAGAAATTTAGTTGTAAATGACAGCAATTCAACCAGTTTGAGACATTTACCATGACCTTTGTAAGTTGTGCAGCTGCCTCAAAATGATCATCACCTTTAACAAAAATCACAGTATCATCTGCATACATAAGCACTTCACAACCATGACACACAGATGGTAGGTCGTTAATGTAAAAACTGAATAGAATTGGACCCAAGATTGAGCCCTGTGGTACACCTGTATCAAGATCTTTAAAAGAAGATCTGTTATTTTGTATTTGACACATTGAGTTCGATTAGTGAGATATGATTTGAACCAGCTGCATGTAAATTGTGAAAAATTGAACTGAACAAATTTAGACTGGCGGATATCATGGTTAACGGTGTCAAACGCTTTTCGTAGATCTAAAATAACTGCACCAACCTCCTCTGTCTATCATAGACTTAGCAACTGTTTACTTTGTTGAAAGGGTTTCTGTTGAGTGGTGAAAGCCATGTTGCATGGGGTGTAAGAGTTGATTAGAATTAAGATGATTAATTAGTTGACCAGCCTCTAACTTTTTTATAATCTTGGACATAACAGGAAGAATACTTATTGGTCTATAATTTGAAACCAAATGAGAATCATCACCCTTGAAAATAGGTACTACAACCGCTGGCTTCCAGGAATGAGGGAAGCACCCATGACCCTGTGTCAACAAAATGTTCATAATATGAGTAATAGGTTTAATTAATGAACAGGCACTGTCCCGTATCATAGAGTTCATTTCATACACATCTTTTGATAGTTTAGGTTTAAGTGATTCAATAGCCCTTAACACCTGCCCTTCAGACACTCTTTCAAAAGTGAAGATTGGTGCTAAGGACTTTGGTTACTTAGTGTTTTTCTGTAAAGTAACAGTAAACAGTTTCCTGCTCCTCCGCCATATTGGTTGAAAGTGGAATTACAACTGTCATAAACAACCTTGCTGCAGCCTGCTGTAGCTAGCAGCAACAACGAGCTAACATTAACATGAGCCAACTAATACTAAAATAATTGTTATTGATGATCGGCGAACAGAAAATGCCAACCTCAAACTAGTGTAGCCCATACCACTGTTCATTAAAGCAAGTCAAGAGCCCCCCCCCCCCCCCCCCCCCCCAGGGCACCTACCTGCTTTGGTCAGTAGGGGCTGCAGAGCGGTGTCAAATATGGAACTGGTCAAGTTTCTAACTCAACTATCATTGAGGTCAACGTTGAAGCTCCAGCTTAAAGTTTAAACAAACTATGCTACTTTAATAAATGAAATCACTTAAAAACTGCATTTTGTTTTTACATGGGTTGTCTTTGTCTGATAGGGACATTTTTTGCTGATCTGAAACACTTAAGTATGACAAAAAAGCCCAAGCAGAAGGGTTATTCTTGGTCTGTGTCTTCATTTCCTCCTTCCTCCTGGTCCCTCTAACATGTCTTTTCTTTCTTCTCACAGCGGGTCTTCTTGACAGACTTGAACTGACGGTGCTCGCCTGGATACCAGCTGAGTGTCCACAGTGAGACGTGCTCACCGAGTGGAGAACATCAGCAGCCTAAGGAGCAGCAGCATTGTCGCTCCCTAGATCTGCACCATTTCATCAAATCTAATATGGCAGATCCCAGTCTAACATCCCCCTCCGGGACACCACTGCGCTCCCCCAACGCCCCTCTTACCATCTCCTTCCCCTTCTCGAGGGAAGGGAGCCGACTGTGGGAGGAAGGACGGGAGCCCCGACTCCCACTTGAACTACCCAGCCCACTGCCAACCAAACGTACCCGCACCTACTCAGCGTAAGTGTCACCAGTTAACATGACAGGCCTGTTCTCACGTGCAGTATTTAGATCAGTACCAATTTTGTTTAAATTCAATAAAAGGTTTGTTTCTAATGTCTCTTTTATTTACCTTATTTCAAGAAGATACCCACTGGTTTGCTGATGGATTCATACAACCTTTTGGTCACTTGGTCAAACACAACAAGTCCTATAAATGCACCTCTCTCTACTTGAGAAGATTTTAAGTTATAAAAACTGATAAAACCCTGTAGTTTTCGAAGTCTTTGTCCTTTTGTCTCCAGGACGGTTCGAGCTCACTCTGGCCCAGTTTTCAAAGGCATCTGTAAGAACTTTTCCAGATCACAAGGTCATGGCTTCATCCAGCCCTCCCATGGTGGAGAAGACATCTTTGTTCACATTTCAGAGTAAGTAGCAGTAAAAACAAACTTGCTGCGTTGGCTGAATTGTGGCTGAACACCTGCAGCGTTAACTCAGGAGTACAAAAAAGCTCCTCTGTGCTAAATGTATTCAGTTATTTTAGTTACGTTAGACATTATGTCAAATATTTACGAAAATCTGCAAAATGCACGAGAGAGAGAGTCTAAGAACTGCTACTCTGTGAGACTTCACATCTTGTGCATGAAGGTGTTTTGTGGTTGTAATTATAAAAACGTAAACTTTACAGAGTCTGTAAGAAACCTTCCAAATGTACTTAGCTTTAACTTCCTGTTTCAGCATCGACGGGGAGTACGTCCCAGTTGAAGGGGATGAGGTCACGTACAAAGTGTGCCGGGTCCCACCTAAGAACATTAAGGTGCAGGCCGTGGAGGTGAAGATCATACACCTCAAACCCGGGACGAAACACGAGACCTGGTCTGGACAGATCATCAGCTCGTAGAGGATCTGAGTGGTGAGGCTGGTGGACGGCGGCCTCAGGCTGACAGACGCACTCTGGGACTCATTAGCGTCTTCACTGAGCTCAGACCTCCTTTCGTTAGGATTTTTGGACATTTTTAATCCCACATAGCAAAATACGTTGAAGTATTACTGACTTAAGAGTGTTTTAAGTGTTTCTGTGTAAAGGTCTTAACTGCCATCATATTCCACCCTTCATAAGAATATGTAGTCATTAGTTTTTACATTAGTTATAGTGCAAATACGCTATTAGTGACTTTTTCCAGAGTTTTCACAGACCCCAGCTTTGGCAACCACAGGTTTACATCCTTCAGGGCTGACAAGCTAACGGCTAGTTCAAATTTAGTCAAGAGTACATTTTATTGCGGCCATCTATAAACATCTCTAATCTGCTAAATTTCATAGCAGCACATATACATATTCTATAAACCTTTACAGCCCTTTCAGTTCCACCTTAAACAGAACTTACAGGTCTGTGGTTATTTACAAATAAAAGTATCACCAGCAGCAAAAAGTAGCACTTGTGGCACACCCTGGGCTGTGTTGCCAACTGACTTTGAATATATATATCAACATTGCCAGATTACTGTTCAGTAACTGTTGAGACTTTGACAGGAAACCATTGAACGTCCAGCGAGTGCCATTGTTAACCTGTCTCCTGTCCCAAAGCATTCCCAGGCAGCCCAGTCTTAAGCCTGGTTCATGCTTCTCCGTCAGCTCCGCAAGAGACAGACACGCACGGATTGACGGAAGCGTTTTGCTCTCGTACTTCTCCGTCTCCTGGAGAGTGTTGCAAAGCAATTGCCCGGCAGGACAACAGAGGGCGTAGCGCTGCTCTTTGGTATCCTGTCATGTATTGGTCCAAGATAGTGTGTTTGTATTGTGTTTTTTTGTATATAACACAGACAAATTTGTCTCTCATCCTCCTCCACCTCTTCATGCGCTCGCCACCTCTAAACCCACGTTTCCTGTCATTTCCGTCCACAAATAAAACGCTTGCTGCGCATCTTTTCACTCCTCCAGTCACGGGATAATTAAACGTTCATGTTTTTAGAGTTTTTTCGCGAGGTATTCTTCAAGCTGCTCCGTGTCTGCTGCTAGTTATCCTCGGCTCCCTTTATGTTTTTGAGGGCGCAATGACAGCGCTGTAGACAACAGCAGCGTCCTGACCAATCACAAGCTTGCGTTGTCCGTCTCGACTGACGTATGTTTAGAAAAGAGAGCTCGACTCCATCCGTCCTTGCGGAGCTCTCCGGCAGGCCCGCAAGGACGTTGCGTGTCTCCGCACTGACGCAGACGGAGAAGCATGAATCAGGCATTACTCGGAGCAGGATGCATTAACCCCTCTGTGTTCGGGCTGCAAGTGAATTTGCATGAATCACCAACACAAGACCAGTTGTGCAAATTAGCCAATGATGTCATTTGGGGACTTCTAGCAACTTTTTGAACAGCCAGTAGGTACTTTCTTTACTTAGAAGTTGGCATGGCAACAATAGCTGTGTTTCCACTACAGAAGTTCTGGGAAATTACTGGGAGGAGGAAAAGTGACCCGGATATTTGATGGCTTGTTCTTCTCAGCTGTTGGGTCTCCATACAAAATCTGCCTTTTCAGGAACTTTGCTAAGATGTGCTTGCTGCATCAATAGTGAGTGATGTCACCGATGAGTTCTGCCACATTAGTTTAGAAATGGCGATTTTAAAGCAGTGTCAATGTTGCTAAGTTTCTTTTTTTTCCTATCTGCTTCATGAACAACTCTTCCAATTGTAATGTTGCTTGTTTGGCGACGTCTGCCAGCTTTGTTACAACCAATAAGTTTGAGTCAAACACAAGTCCCACTCAGTGACTGGCTCTACCCGTTTTCTGGGTACGTACCCCTGTTCAGGGACTTTGCTGGTTCCTGAAATGGCCCAGAAAATGGTCCTTTTGGACCAGCTTGGTGAAATAAAGACGCGAGAATGCCACGAAGGTTCAGTAAAATTACCCAAAAGTTCAGATATTGGAAAAGGGTGTAATGATCCATGGGTCAGTCTGGGAGGAATTTTTTTTTTTCATTCAAAGACTGAAATAAAAAAAATTATAAAATAATGTTTGGATTATTATGGAGATTGTTAGCATAGAAAGTAGCTGTAAACTGTTGGCTCACCTGAAAGACAAACTCTATTTAACCAAACTGAGTCTGTTCAGACAGGATAGTGACTTTTTATAACTTTTACACAGAAACACTGCAAAATGGAGTTGTCATTAGTGTTGATGCATTTGTTCAAACATGACTGACTCGAGGACATGGACGTAATTTTCACTTTAGAAGTGGGGGGACACGGGGGGGGGGGGGGGGTATCTTTACAGTAGGTTCTAATGGGAAACAGGCTTCAACACAAATGGTTGTTTTCTGCTTGGTCCTAGACCTCAGCCAGTGTCAATTTAATATAGCGTAATATTGTTTTTGGATGGTAAAAAGTGCAGGGGTCAAAACTTGACCTTGGAAAAAGTGTGTGGGGGGGGACATGCCCCCCCCCCTCCAAAAAAAAATTACATCTATGATTCAAAGTAATAAAGAGCAGAGGCTGATCAGAAAAGCAGATTTATTACAGTAAACAGTGATTTTTACAGTAATTGACATGTAAATCGGCCAAGATTGAGGAGTGCTTAACATTTTCGCCCCAAACAAAAGTGAGCAAAACAGCAAAAAACTGCACAAGTCTTTTGAAATAGCTGAGAAACATATTTTTGGATTATTTTCCTGCTTTGGTGAATCTGATTCTTATTACTGCCTTACATAAACAAGGATCAATACTTTAAATAGGTAAATACACAACAAAGCCACAATCCTTTTATTTTTATTTTTTTACATATTTCTACAAGACATCTTTTTCTGAAAAGTCTACATCGTGACGTGGTCACAGTAGCTTCATTTACTGGTTAATGATCACTTTAAGCACCTTTCCTGGAGGGTTTTCATTGTTTTTACTTAGAACTTTGGCTGCTTCTTAAATCATTTACAGTTTTCAGAGTCATGAATTTTTAATTAACTTGATTCATGTGGACTTTAAAGGCCAAGTTCACAGAGAAGACGTTTTATGTGAGCTAAACGTGAAAATAGTCTTCTACTCCTGTTTCCCGCTTTAGCTGCCGATAAAAAAAAAAAAGACAGGGAAACCACCAAAAGCCAGTCAAATCTACTTCGTACGTTAAATTAGCATTCATGAACTCGCCCTTCTTGCAGGGGCGCCTCCAGAAAATTTTGATAGGGATGGCCAAATAAATTTTTGGGGTGGCACACCAAATTGGTCCTTGTGGTGACTCTGGGAAATTTTAGCCTGTGGTGATGTGTTAGCCTAGTGAACTAGATCAAATTCTTGCTTTCATATGTGAATATATAGTCTGGCTTGCCAGGCTAGTGATGAATAGCAT